AAACAGATATTCACTCCACAGCGACGAAGATCTCAGCATTGACAAAATGAACAAACAGTTCAATGAAATAATAAAAGAAGCTGCCTTTGAAGTAGGCAATAAGAACGTCAAATAAAGCTCCAGTAAGCTCTCGATAGAAACTAAAGGGACAAAATAGAATTAGATGAACTAACACAGACTATAGAAAAAAAAGAGAAGATGTACGGAAATCCAATACTTAAATAATGAAGGGAACAGCGTGAAAACAGGTTGAAGGGAGACTTGGAATGTAAACAATAAAGAACCCTAACGGAAAAGTGACATATAATAAGACATATAATAAAGGCATGAAGAGAAGGAAAACACCACGTGAAGACGGTATTAGTATAGACCTTATAATAGATGCAGGAGAAATTGCAACAGTGAAATTATCCATTTTTTTTTTAAACAAATGCCTTCTCAACGGAAAAAACTCCGAAAGCTTGGAACATACAATTATTTTGATACATAAAAAAGGGGACAGAAAGGCTTTAAAACACTACCGACCCATAAGCCTCCTTTCAGTTACTTACAAACTGTTCACTAAAATCATCACAACTCGCATCTCTGACAGTCTGGAATCTAACCAGCCTACAGAACAGGCAGGCTTCCGCAGTGGATTCTCAACAACAGACCGCACACACACGCTCACATAAATAAGATTAAAAATAAACGAATATAGGATACCCCTGTGTATGGCATTCATTGATTATAAAAAGGCATTTGACTCTGTACAAATACCAGCTGTACCAGAAGCTATTCGAAGACAGGGAGTAGAGGAGGTAAACTGTAAAATATTGGAATATATATACTAAGATGGGACAGCAACCATCAAGCTCCACACTGAAACCGATAAAATACCAATTAAAAAGTGTGTTAGACAGGGCGATACCATTCTCCAAAATTGTTTACAGCTTGCCTTGAGGAAATATTCAAGAAGCTAGAATGGAAATGGTATCAAAATAAGGGACGAATACCTAAACAGTCTAAGATTTGCATATGATATTGTTCTCTTCAGTGAATCTGTAAATGAATTGCAGCATCTAATAAATGATCTGAATAGAAAAAGCCTGAAAATCGGACTAAGGATGAACAAAAAAAAGACTAAGATCATGTTTAACAGTAGAGTTCAATTCAAACAGAGATATGTTCAAGGCAAAACACTAGACGTGGTAGACAAGTACATATACCTAGGGCAACTCGTACAGACAAACACATCTAGCGAAGAGGAAATTAAGCGACGCATCAGTCTAAGCTGGAGCGCCTTCAGCAGATACAGTAACATACTAAGAGGCTCCTTGCCATTGTGTTTAAAAAGAAAAGTCTTTAACCAATGCGTCCTCCCAGTTATGACCTATGGATCAGAAACATGAAATACAACCAAATTACTGGAGGGATATAAAAAAAATGACAATGTCAAGATGGCGCAACGAAATAACGAAATTTGGGGGCCAAGACTGGAAACAAATAACGCAGGGCAAACAAAGTTGGAAAAAAATTAGGAGAGTGCTACGACCTGCAGTGGATTGACTCAAGCTGCTGCTGATGGTGATGATATATATGCATACACACACTTTGTATGTATGTATGTCTGCATATATATATGTATAGACACACACACACACACACACACACACACACACACACACACACACACACACGCACGCACGCACACACACACACACACACACACACACACATACACACACACACACACACACACACACACACACACACGCACACACACACACACACACATATATGTGTGTGTGTGTGTGTGTGTGTGTGTGTGTGTGTGTGTGTGTGTGTGTAATGCCTCTTTATATACATACATTCACACACACACACACACACACACACACTCAAATACGCACACACGCACGCAAATAGTGTGCATACTCTATTCACACACATCCTTATTACATATTCATCATGCCAGTAACACTCCCATTCCTCCCAAAGAGGATTCTCTGATAGCAGTTAAAAGACATTCAATAGCACTGCAACTTTACCTTTACGGGAACAGAAGCCAAGAGTCACACCGTTACAGGCACAGGGCTGGGCGAGGAGTGAGGCCCATGCTATAGGGGTCCGGAAGGCCCCTCAGCGCGCACGCAATCCTAGGACCTCCGCGCTCACATGCTCGCGCGCGTGCCCTGGGATGGCTGCCTTCCGGAATGGAGCGTTTTCCTCTCGGATGTATACACACACACACACACACACACACACACACACACACACACACACACACACACACACACACACACACACACATATATATATATATATATATATATATATATATATATATATATATATATAGATATATATATACATATGGTAGTAATAATAATGAAAATAATGATAATGATTATAACAATAATAATAATAATAATGGTAAAAAAATAACAGTAATAATGGTTAACATAAAAAATGTAAGGATGATAACAGTAATAATAATAATAATAATGATCATGATAATGAGGATGGAATAATAATAATGGTAAAAAAATAACAGTAATAATGGTTAACATAAAAAAATGTAAGGATGATAACAGTAATGATAACAATAATAATGATCATGATAATGAGGATGATAATATTAATAATAATAATAGTAATAATAATAATAATAATAATAATAATAATAATAAAAATAATGATAATAATTGTGATAATAAAACCGATAATGATGATAATAAATTTAGTAATAATAATGATGTTGAAAATAGCAATGATAATAATTATAATAATAATAATGATAATGATAATTATAATAAAAGTTCCAATAATATTAATGACAATAATTGTAATAATAATAACAACAACCATGATAATAATAATGAAAGTAATAGTAATAATGACAATAATGATAATAATAATAAAAATATAATAATAATAATGATAACAATAATAATAACAGTAATGATAACTATGATAATGATAACCATAATAATGATAATAATAGCATCAATAAGGATGATTATAATAATAAGAATAATGCTAATGATGATAATATTATCAACATAGTTAATGATAACAGTAATAATGATGATAATGATGATAATGATAATAATAATAATGATGATAATGATGATAATGATAAGAATAATAATGATGATAATGATGATAATGATAATAATAATAATAATAATAATAATAATAATAATAACAATAATAATAATAATAATAATATTAATAATAATAATAATAGTAATAATATTGATAATAATAATAATAATAATAATTATGATAATGATGATGATGATGATGATTATGATGATGATGATGATGATGATATTGATGATAATAATAATAATAATGGTAATAATAATGATAATGATAATTATGATAATAATTAGTAGTAGTAGTAGTAATGACGTTAATAGTAATAGGAATTATATCAATAATGAAAAATTACATTATGATAATGGCAGCAATGATAATGATAAATGTAATGAATATCCCCTGGATACTGGCGGATTCTCCCGCAGGCTTCTGGCCGCCTGTTCCCCTGGCGGTTACGGATCTCTAGAGAAAATCTACGGCCTCCTCCGCCCTGGAAGATGATGTGGTTTTGTTGTTTTCATGTGTTTGTCTCTTATATTTTTTTATATAAGAATAAACCAGTGTTTTTATATCCTTTAACTTACCTTCTCCATTGCTCTGTGATCTACATCTACATTTACACTATTTCTACTGCACGTAACACTGCTTATACACTACTTACTTTACGTTCTATACTTACCTGGGCTTATTCTTGCCTTTTTGCCTTCGACTAATTCACCTTAGCTTTGTTTCTCTCTCGTTTTTCTCTTTGTGTTTTCCCGTTTTCCCTTACGGATTCCTTCTTTCAGCGTACAGTTCTATTATTATTCTTATTCAATGTATTTTTAAGCTTATTTTAAACTCGCCATACACTATTTAACAAATTATATCAACTGCATTATGGGCAAACTATAAAAGGGCAAGCTAGGTCTGTCAGGGAGAGAGAGAGGCTTTTATCCTATGTGGTGACAGACCGTTGGATTTTTAGCCGGCTGACTGGGTGCTTCTCGTGCTGTGGCGTATGGTGTGTTGTCTTGTATATTGGTTGCGTTCGAAAGATTTGTGCGTAATAAATGTATAATATGGATGTCTCTTTTTATGTTGCTTTTTTTTTAAGTTAGCCAGTGATGTTTTTTTGTTTGTTTGTTTTTTATGTTCTTTTAAATCACCTGAAAATTATCACCAAAAGACGCCAAACCCATATGGAGATTACCTGTAGTTGGGTAACACGCAACCAAACTAACATATCTGATTATCCACTACAGTAATAATAATAATAAAAAAGATAATAACAACAATGATGACAATAATAATGATAATGACAATAATAATAATGATAATGACAATATTAATAATGATAATAACAATGATAATGATAATAACTATAATAATAATAACTATAATAATAATAATAATAATAATAATAATAATGATAATAATAGTAATAATAATAACAATAACAATAATAATAATAATAATAATAATAATAATAATAATAACTATAATGATAACGATAACGATAACGATAACGATAACGATAATGATAATGATAAGGATAATGATAATGATAACAATAACAATAACAACAATAATAATAATAATGATAATAATAATAATGGTAATAATAATAATAATAACAATCATAATAATGATAATAATGATGATAATGACAGCGATAACAATGATAATGATCACGATAATTATAAAAAAATAATGCTAGTATTAATAAAAGCAATAGATAGTATTAAACTGTGATAAGATTTTATAACAAATATGATAATAATGGTAATGATAAAAATAAAAAAACGGTAATAGAAATGTAATGGTTATCTATAACGATAAAAAAGATAATCACGAGAAAAAAACTTCATAGCACAACAACTTATAGTAATCATGACGCTGATTATACTAAGTAAGGATAATAATAATAATGGTAATAATAACAGTACTTTTATATTTACTTTGTGTCTTCACTGGAGAATCTGCGGTACAATAAGAAGCAGGGTTGGGTCCAAGGACATGTACGTATACTTGGACAAAGTACATGCTTTTATATATTTTTATGTACTTGTACTTTGTGTTTCAAAAATTCATTGGTACTTGTACTTGGTGTTTAAAAATTCATTGGTACATATACTTGTACTTGTACTTAGACCCAAGGTACTTTAAAAAATACCAATTACATTCGAACACAAATGAGTACATAATAGTTAGGTAAAAGTTATAATATAGAATTTGTGATGATACTTTTGGGTAAATACGTTTATTAGGTGTTATGGTATTGTAGTGTAATATAGGGTAAATGAGCATAATTATGTCGTATTTTCTCAATTAGTAGCATGCTGTAGTACAGGGCCGGTACAGCACCTCATTACTTAAAAAGCGTTAACGCGTTTAATCCTTTCACTCTCCACTCTCCACTCCTTCACCTCGGTTGTCGGTATCACTCACAGCAGCAGCAGACAAGCAGGAGTCAACAAGATTTCATGAATCTGGGACCACTTTACTGAACCCGACGATAAAGCTGGGAATTTTGAGTGTAAGCATTGCAAAGCGAAACTCTTCTGCTCCAAGGATGTAGCTTTCAACCAACGCAAACACGAAATACTTGGTAGTACCTGCACCTTCTGCTCCTGTTGAAAAGCCATTTCAAGCATTGCTGGAAAAAAGTGTCT